AGTTCCAAAAGATGATGAATATGCCTGGTGGTGGTGGCACATGACCTTAATATAAGCACTCAGGAGGCAGAGGCAAGCAGATCTCTGAGTTTAAGGCTAGCCTGGTCTACAGAGTGAGTTCCAGGACAGCCAGAGCTATATAGAGAAACCCTGTCTAGAAAATAATAACAACAACAAAATAATGAAAATGATGGATCTTATCATATTCATCCCATGTTTAAAATTTGTACAATATTTTTCCCCTGCATTTATATAATTCTAAACTTTTAAACTCTTAAATATTACTAAACGGCAAAGCATAATCTGGCTTCTTACCTCATCCATATGGACTCATGCCACCCTTTGTCCTACTACTTGACTACTAGACAATATGAAGATCTTTCCTATATTTGGGTTGCCATACTTTCATTTGTACCTGGAATGCTCTCCTACCTTGCTACATGGCTATTTTAATTTATAATTCAAGAGTTAGTTTGGGTAGTTTTTGTCTCCTTTGGCATATTTTCTGATCTGTTTTCCCTCAATACTTTATATTCATTCTTAGTTTTCCCAGTTTCTATTATAGATGTTTTCCTTATCTGACTATAATTTTCTTGAGAGCAAGAGCCACCTCTTCTCTTTGGAAATCCCTGTCTAGCTGTGTCATATCACAGGAAATATTTAATAAGTATTTGTTGAATCATTGAAGGTTACTGTATAGCAAGATAGCCGTTTGTTAAATACACTTAGTTGAATACATCTAACTGGCTATAATACTGATGCTTACCATTGAACTATTAAGTAGTCAAAGAGGACCAGACAAGGAACTGTGTGCACATGGAAAGTGGAATGTTTCCAGTTCTCTGGAGTGTTTTGACTCTTCTGGCTAAGATAAATCACACAGCCATCCCATTTCCCCATTAAACTCATGGCTCAAGCTCTATCCTAGAACCAATGTCATTTTGCCTTGAAAACATCATTAAATAGGTTGACTTTAGAGTCATCTTTTCTATTAGAACTTCTGAGGAACAAGACTGATTTATCTCCATCCTTTATATTACATTAGAGTTTCCATGATACAAATTAATCATGGTGGAAATTTCTTTCAGGAATACTGCAATTCTAAAATTAAGAATTATAACATACTAAAGTGTTGAAGGCAGTATCTCTTCAGATATAGTATAGAGCCTAATTATTTGTTACTCTAATTCTACACTTCATGAGATTCAGGCACTGGGAGAGGCATCTGGAATTCAAACAATGACTGGAACACTTTCTTTCCTTGTTAATCAATTGGCTTTGTATAGACAAACAAATCCCCATCAGACCTATACAAAAAGATCCCAGTACAAAAAGGTATGACTGACTCAGCACACTCCCCAGTAGGTTCCATACAGCCAGCTTTCTGGACAGAAAGTTGTCCCAAGGATTTCATTGGCTCAGGAGACCATCTCCATATACTGCAAATGTTCATTGGGTTACTGCCCACCTACCATGTTAATTAGCCCTCACTGCCTATTTCCCTCCTCCATGTCACAAAGACATTCTTGCCCCACGACAGGCTCAAAGAAGAAAATGGTTCAGTATGGAGGAAAAGAGCTGGAGGGGGCCCAATGTCAGAATAAAGATCCAACAGACATGTTCCTGGTAAAATTAAGGAGTTTGGGTCATCAGCTCCCTGTAGCCTTTAGGTGTTTTGCTGAGCAGCTGGAGGTCATTCAGTGACTCAGAGCAGGAAGTCAGTAAGAGAAAGGCAATATTTTCCTGAGGGCTTAAATTAGCCTTTGCTTAGGGAAATGATGAATAATTGCTGTTAGCTGACTTGTATAAATATACACATGTTATTTATATATACAATATATATTTTTAATAGAAAAAAATCTATGTTCCATTTGTTTGGCTTTAAAGGGCAAACTTCCAGTGTTATTAATAAATGGATAGGGTAGACCTTCATTCATACTTGAATTCTAATGCACCTGCACTTAAGTCATGAGGGACCTCTAAGTATTTTCATTATATTGCTAAGAAACCGCTACCACAGTTGGTTTAAAAAATACTTCAAATAATCTGCATGCACAGCTAATATTTCCTGAGTTTGCACCAGGATTTATTCCAAATATGTGAACTGTCTCAATGAATCATCATAACATCTCCAAGAACAAGCTTTGTTTCCACTTGTGTTTTGTAGGTGAGAAAATCAAGGCCAAGAGAGTGAAACATTTCTAGCCAAAGTCTAACAGCTGTGAAGGGCAGAGCCAGGGTTCAACCTCGATGCTCTGATCTTTAGTCTATGCTTCTTCCTACTATGTGCAAGCTCTTAAAAAATGTTTCATTCCATTAATTACATAGATTTAATGAAAGTCATTCCTCCAGTAAATGGCTGAACTAGGCTTTTAATGAGTTTGTCTGATTCTTGTGTCCAAGCTGGCAAATACCACTTAATACTGTCCCCTAGAGAAGGTAACATGCTTATTTTTTTTCAATCACATATTTAACATTAGACATTAAATAGATCATAAAAAAGAAAATGCTTTATGAAGAGTCTAATTATTACCCAGACATAATCTAGAATATTTAATGTATTAAGCTAATTATTAAAATTTTCTGAAGCATCTGAAATACCATGTGAGTAGTGTTAATGTGAGTGTACTAAATGAAATTCATATAATGATTCAATATCACTTCTTGTATAATATTAGAGGGACCAGTCTTAATATTATACATCCCAGGGGCTCAGGAGAGAAAACTACTAACGGCGAGGACTATTTTCAGAAAATAGAATCTCAGCACACCAAGCTCTATAGTCCACTTGCTTTAATTCCTCTGGCATAACATCCTTTATACCCAGCTTCAGTTCTTTTCTCATGTCTAGCTCCTTTCTTGGCTGATTTCTCTCTATATTTATCTACTGCTTCCTCTAAGTTCTATCTTAATTCTCTTGTCTTAACTCTGCCTCATCTAGGTCCTTTTCATCTTGTTCTTACCCAGCTAGTACTTCCCCATCTGACTCTTCCTCATCTTCCATCTCGTTTTCTCTGGTGCTCTCCTCTAGCCCTTCACTCTAATTCTTCCCCATCTCAGTTTGTTCCTCTCAAGTTCTTACCCGTCTAGTTCTTCCATTCTCTTTTCTCTTCTCTGTCTCTCCGTGCCCTGGAAGTCCTGGTATATAAAGCCAGGCTTCCAGGGTCAAATGGAGGGGTGATAAGAATCACATAGAGAGGCAATAACTGTTAATTACATTTGCAACCCCAAAGGGAAGTGACCAATGGGGAAATGAATTAACTAAAGGCTAAATTCGGGTAATATCTAAGAAGAGGGCTCTTATGTGCTCAACTATAATCTTAAACGTGATTGGTAGAAAATGTTAAGAATCTATAAGTTGCTAGGTCAATGGGAGAAAATAAAACTGTCTTCTTTTTTCTTGTGGCTCCTATCTGTCCAAGCTATCTGCTGTTTTTCTCCAGGGTAGGGGAAAGTGTGCTCAGTCGCTAGGCAACCTGTGTACAGCTAGATGCCTCTGGTGATAATTAAAGGGAGTTCTGGAACTAGAGGTAAGGTTTGGGAAAGGAGGAAGTAAGGCTTAATTGGCACATCCACCAGGCCTTCTCAAACAGGTAGCCTGGATGGTTAAGTCTGTTCTTAGAGAGTACAGAGATATCTCTGCTAAGGTACTTTCCTCCATCTGGGGATGGACCTGGCCGGATGCTGCTAATGATGATAATTACAGGGAGGTTTGAACTGGGGTTCTGGCTGAGCATAGCTCTCAGTGCAGAGGGTTATCTAAATATTCCTAGAAGTGGTTAGGTAAGGAGTTAACGGTCTATAAAGTTACTTAACGTCCACCTGACCTAGGTGGTGTCTCCTTGTGGAATTTACCTTAAATCAGGAGACTTGAATGTGGACTGTTATTACTGCTAGTCCTTGAAAGTGGCCAAGGGAGATATCTGATTCCAGAGAAAGCCTTTCCTGAGGCTGTTCTCCAAATACCTGGAATGTGTATGTCCAGAGAGTGATCAGTCCACACTGTTAGCCCTTCTTGGGGAAAAGTCAATTGGGAAAACTATGAAAGCACACATGACTTTCATAACAGAATACAGCTGATATATAACAAGCCAAGTAACACCAAAACCTCCTTGGTATTTGGCTTCCTCTGGAGGAATTCCCTGATCCCTCCAGGTAGTGACTTTGTCATAACCAGCTGAGTTCTTATAATATATTCCTGCGGCCCGCAGCAATCACTGTTTACCCAGTTTCTTGGAGCAAGCAAAAGAGCACCTAGATATCTGTGAACATTTAAAATGTAAGCTTAACTTGTTTTGTCTGTCCCAAGCTAAGACCAATACAACTTATTGGTTACAACACATAGTACAAAGTCAAAAGAAATCACATTATAAAATATAATTTAGTATTAGTAAAGATAAAAAAGTTGTGTCTTAAGATTTAATCTTGTATGTGTATGTGTCTATGTAAGTAAATGGCACATGTGTGTGGGTGGGCATGGAGGGCAAAAGAGGGTCTGAGATCCCTTGTAGCTGGAGATACGAGTTGTCTGACATGGGTGCTGGGAATTGAACTCAGGTCCTCTGTAAGAGCAGCAAGCCCTTACTATTGAGCAATCTCTGCAGCCACACTAAAGATTATCTTTGTTACTTATATTAATATCTGGTTATATGAAATAGTTTACCATGCACATCTGAAATGTTAGAAAGTTATAATGAGCTGGCCAAGTTATAACGAGCCTGTCAGTTAAAAAATCATAGAAAATATTAAGTGTTGGTTGTTATTATCATTTATGGTATTCACTACATAATTATACACTCTCCTTATGTGAGTTTGTGTGTAGAGTTCTGGTTTCTTCAACCATCTGTAAAAACTACTATCTTGTAGTGTCAAGTCTGCTGATAAGGAATGAATGTCAGAGAATTAAAGGTCATTGCAGGTGGGTTATAGAGTAAATTTAAGACAAACATTTTTGACATTTGTGCCTCAGTAAAAGTCTTTTATGGTTTTTTTTCTTTTACCTTTCGGCCCTTTGAAAAGCTTGATTTCCACGACAGTCTCCAAAATGGGTCGTCTTCTACGCACATACAGCCGCACAATAGACCCCGCTTCTTTGAGGGCCTCCACTGCTTTACTGTGGGAAACCTCGGACACATCAACCTCGTTCACCCGCAAGATACAATCATTGACCCTGCAAGGGAGGAAGAGGCAAGTTTCAGCAGTAGTCAGGGACCTGGAGTGAAGAGTCCATCATCACTATCTAACCTTAACAAGAGGACAAGAATGGGAGAGATTTGAAAACGTTCAAATTTGGAAGGTTTCTTACTTATAGTACAAGAAATCAAGTCATGCTTAAGCTCCTTGAGTGCCTAGCATTCCACACAATGATCACTAGGCAAGCCAGTTTCCATCTTAGATTGTACTACAGTAGTGTGACTTGAATTGAGTGGCATATGGCGTAGTTAGAAGGATATGAATTTTAAGAAATCTGTCAATGACATCATTATTTTTACTGTCTTAATTGGTTAGACTGAAAATTATGGTCTAAAGTCTTCTCAGAAGTTATTGTGGTAGACTATATAGACACAACAGATGTAATTTTATCATTTAACTTTGCAAAATTCTGAGCTCACTAGATACAAAAGTGTTATGCAATAATTGTAGAAATTCTCAAAAATATAACTATGTAGGAAGAAGAAAAAACATATAAAACAGTCATCTCAATGTGTTTAGCTTGTTGAATTATCTTTAAATATCTTTTCCCTGGAATTCATCTCACAATATTATAAATATTGAAGCTTAGACTTAATGAAGCTTGACGAGATCCTCAGATAATCCTGCCTAAGACATTTACTTTAAAAACTAAGAATTATGTAATGCTTTAATTGTTTCAGTCTTCACACAGGAAGGCATAATTTGTCTTCCTTTCCAGTTAGTTTATTTTTATGATAATGATTAGTGATAACACGAATAATGGCTAAGAGCACAGGTTTCTGGCTAGAAAGATTTCCTCACTCTGTCCATCCATTTTAATATTCCCCATCTCAGGTTACTTTGTTGCTCCAGGTCAAAAGTGAGCAACTGTTCTTACCTGACCCCTTCTTCCCTCCATCACTATACATTCAGATCAATTTACAGAGCAAATCTAATGGCTATTGAGGTTAGTTCATCTTCCCTGCTACCTCCTGGTTGAAGTCAGCACCACCTCTTGCCTGGATGACTTCCACAATCTCCTGCCTAACATTCTTGGGTCCTCTTTGTTATCTTTGAAGCCCTTCTCTTCAAAGTACCATGGAAAAGTAAATGTGGTTGGTACCAACTTTCTACTTCCCTCTTCCAATGTCTGATTTCGTTCAAGAGATATATTGTTTAGCAAATATTTGCTGAACATGAAAAAACAACAACTAAAATTCAATTGTTAGATTTCCATCTTCTAAGTTGATACATATAGGTAATTTTCTTCATCTCTCTAATAATTTTTTATTATTTTTATTTTCACATTCTTTAATAATTATAATATCTACTATGAATGTTTTAGAGAAGAACAAACTAGACAATATACATATAAGCCTTCCCATAGATCTTAGCATATAATAAATTATTAATAAATGTACTGATAGTGCAGTATGTATTGACATATAATATTCTTAATAATGGATTTTTTCATGGCTTTGTGGAATAAGACTGAGGTCCACTGTGGAAATTAGTGTAATTTGTACTAATATAAGTAGTAGACTGTGTTTGTTCTAAAGTCTGTGTCTATGTATCCTATCTATCTATCTATCTATCTATCTATCTATCTATCTATCTATCTACCTATCTATCCATCTATCTATCATCTATCTTTCTATCTATTCAGTCATTTATCTAACATCATCATCATCATTCCCATGATCATCATTATCCCCATGATCATCATTATCTATCTTCTATCCACCTACTTACTTACCTACTACATTTCTATGTATTTATTCTTGCAGTCTTGGCTGGGCAAGTCTAGGGCTTCATGCATGCTTGCCAAGTACTCTAGTACCAAATTATACCTGGATCCTTCAAGCCTTCTTGTTAAAAAATATATATCTAATGTGATGGACCATTTTATGTATATTATGCCTATCGATTCAAAATATAAGTTTACCATGGACATATTATATAAAAGCATGGGGAGGATTTTTAAGTGTATTTTCCCCCATAATTCTTTATATGTCTGTTTAAGAAGCTGTCATTGCAACCCTTGCCTTTATGAGAATACACAGCAGCCTTAAAATTCTGAAGTGGAAGATTTCACTAAAATGTAGTGATATTATTTCATCAGAACAGATGGAATGGCTTTAATAGGTTTACACATACATTTCCTTTCTAACAAAACAAAACAAAAAAAATCTGGAAAACTACTAATTAAAATAGTTTTGAGAATGTAGGCATGCATCAGGGATGCCAGCCACCCTGGAGCAGCTGGTCCTTTGAGAGTGGGTAATTTTGCCATCTCATGATAATGAAAAATCATGGTTTACCATTACCTCATGTTCAGAATACTAATCATATGTTGACCACTATTTTTCTTGAAGTGAGCTGTAGAAAAAAAAATGAAGGCTACATCCATTCAAACGCTACTAATTATTTCCTTTTGTGTACTATGAAAACATTAATTGTTAGTTACAAGTATAAACAAAACACAGCCTAACTCACGTGGTTGTTCCTGAATACATAGGTGAACTAGATAGCTTTAATAAAGTGCATAGAACACAAGATTAGCAAAGAGGAGATCTGAATAGAAAGACACCCATCTCTTTGGATTTCATATTCCCATAGGAAAAGAGGAAGGATGGCCATGGTTGGGGAGAGGATCCAGCAGACAGTTAACAGATGTAGATATATGTAACACTGGAGGTATGAACATTACTGATAAGTAGGTAAGACATGCTCAGAGTGATTTGTTTAAAAGTGAATCTGGTAGAAATTTAAAATTGTCTTCAGGGCATCAACTGTGTGTTTGTTAGTTTGGTCTCTCCACTCATTTCTTTCCCTTTAGTTCATGAAATATTGATCTTCATTTTATAAATAAAGGAATATCAACGGTAAGGTCATTCACTGTTGGTAAGGACAGGGCATGATTTCCAACTGGCTTTATCTATCTCTATGCTAATACAATAAATTTAGAGTTGTTTGCTTTAACATTAAAATAAAAACAGATGATGAATCTACATTGAAATACTTAAAAGGAGAGAATGTCAAGCTAGGGAACTAGGACATTCAACTTCCCTTCCTCTCAGTTGCTTGAAATAGAATCTGGCCAGAGGGCCTCAGCTATTTAAAACGAATCTGTTTAACTGCAGATAACCTTTGTGAGTAAAGTCACCCCTTCAGTTTAAGGCACATCAATGTATCACTAGCTTCGAGCTCAAGTAATGCATCATCCCAGCAAAAAGTTCACCCTCTTATGATATTTCTGAGCCATTGTATAAGAAAGCCGTTTGCATACAGACTTCCTCTTCACTCTACTACTGGAACTGACAGTTTCACTCAGTGTTTGCTGTTTCAGATGTAAGTCTGTAGTTTTGTCTGGAGCAATTTCATCTTGTGGGACAGAATCAGCCACCCAGTTTAAAAAAATGATTTTAATAGTTCTCTGGAATTTCCTTTTGCAATTCTGATGTATTTCTTCAATCAAATATATTAGGAACCAAAGTCCATTTAATCACTAACATCTGTCTGCAGAAACACATTAACCTTTATTTTTCAATGAAAAAACCTCTCACATGATGAGGCATCACTTGAAACTAATATTCAAGAAATTATTAGTTCTCTGTTGAGATTTTAAAAAAGAAGACTTACTTATTTTTATGTGCATTGGTATTTTGCCTGCCTGTATGTCTGTGTGAGGGTGCCAGATCCCCTGGAACTGGTATTCAAACAATTTTTAGTGGCCATGTTGGTACTGGGTCCTCTGGAAGTGTAGCCAGTGCTCTTTCCATTAACTAAGCCATCTCTCCAGGCCCAAGAATATATTTTATTTTATTTGCTTATTTTTGTTTTTTTTTTTTGTTTTTTTTTCAAGACAGGGTTTCTCTGTGTAGCTTTGGTGCCTGTCCTGGATCTCGCTCTGTAGACCAGAGATCTGCCTGGCTCAGCCTCCCAAGTGCTGGGATTAAAGGCGTGTGCCACCACTACCTGGCTCCAAGAATGTATTTTAAAATAACATGTGAAATATACTTTTCTCTCTTAGGTGTCAACATAGGATTTATTGTTAAAAAAGATGTTTTGTGATTTTATATGTATATTAAGGATATTAATTTATTTAATATACTTCCTAAATCATAATTCACATTAAAAGTTATAAACATTGCTGTTTACTATGCAAGAAATATTAGAAGGAAAGAAAATGGTAAAGTTGTAGTTCCAGTTCTTCATAAGTAAGGAGACTATGAATGATTTAAAACATATCTTTTATGTTCCTTCCACATCTATAATAGGCACATAATCTTTCAGATAACCTAAGAACAAAGTGTGTATTCCTTTTCCATATACATATATATATATATATATATATATATATATATATATATCTGAGGCCCCCTCTCAATTCTAGAACTTAGAAACAGTTTCTTTAAAGAATTCATTCAACATCTCAAAGCTGAAATTTCTACATCAGAAAATGGGAATATTAAGTTTGCAGAATGGATGAAGTGAGATAATGCAACAGAGATAATTAACACAGTGTCTGATAAAAGGTAAACATCAAGAAATGTTAGTTATTATTGTTACGAGAAACACTTGCATAAGAGAGCATATGAAGAAAATATAAGAGAGAAAAATAATATAGGGAGAAAAAGGAAGAATACAAAAATCTAGATGTGAAAAAAATCATTGCTCTATTTAAGAAATGGAGGAAAGAATGAGTTAAATGAAATTTTCAGAAACAAAAATTTAAAAACAAGACTGGGTAAAAGTTGCCTTGTGGAGCATAATGTAATTTCTTGTGCCCTAGATCCTTCCTCAGCTCCCCAAGAAAGACTTTACTTGATTCAAGTGTAGCTTCAAGTCAGCCTCAGTCAGAGTGTCTGAAAATCAGCACACTTGGCAGAATTCTTCAAACCCCTGCCTGGTCTCCAACCTGCCTGACATCTTCAGTCACACCTAAGCACTCCAGACAGTGATTATAAACTTACTTTACCACATTTTTCCCTCTGT